TCATGCTCAACACTGCCTGTGTGGCCAAGAACCTGAGACTAGATAAGCCAGGGGCCTAGAGGGAAACCAAATGCTGCTGCTCCATTAAAAACAAAAACAAAGCAAAACAAAAAAACGGAACAAAGAAATGTAGCAATAAAATAACTCCTAACAACATTCTGCTACACTCATAGATCAGTATCTTGCTCAGTCATCAGCAGAGAAGCTTTCTCCTGCAGGAGACAGGAACAAATACAAAAACCTACAGCTGGACTATGAGCAGAGAGTGAGAGACCTTAGAACACTCAGTCCTAAACGGGATTCTTCATCAAATCTCTCTCCTCCAGGGATCAGAAAACGCTGTAGAAGAGGAGGTAAGAAGACTGTAAGTGCTGGGGACACAGACACACAACACACAAACAGACTGATGGACACAGACACGAGGACACCAAGAAAACAAGGCCTTACACACAACTGGACTGACGTACATATGAACTCAGAGACTGTGGCACACTGTGGCCCATGCACAGGGTCCACACAGGTTTAAGTCAGGTGGGGTCCCAGTTCTGAGGGGAAGTAGACACAAGCTCCCTTCTCTAATTCAGAAGCTTCTCCAATGAACCACTCGCAAAGGAAAAACTAGTTTTGCTTTAAAAAAAAAATAATAATCTCACTAGATATACAAACCACATTTAAGTCAAGGTCGCAGGCCCAGTGGTAGATGGACAATACAACATGAAGTCAAGATATTTGGGGGAGGTTTTTTGTTTCACAATGCTTTGTCTGGTCATCTTTTATTTTTTTAACCTTACAGATTTTTTGCTTATATATTATGGTTTCCTATTGTTTTTATGGGATTTCTGTGTGTGTAAACTTGTTTCTCTCAGCATATGTATGTGTTTCTTCTTCTGCTTTTACTTTGGCTGCTTTTTTTCTGTTCTGCTTTTTATTTTATTATTGTTAGTAGTAGTAGTATTAAGATTCCTGTTTGTCCTGAAACTGAAAAGCTTCTGTAAAGCAAAGGACATGGTCAACAAGACAAAACGACAGCCTACAGAATAGGAAAAGATCTTCACCAATCCACATCAGACAGAGGTCTGATCTCCAAACTATACAAAGAACTCAAGAAATTGGTCACCAAAAGATCACATAATCCAATTAAAAAAAAATGGAGTACAGACCTAAACAGAGAACTCTCAACAGAGAAATCTAAAACGGCTGAAAGACACTTAAGGAAATGTTCAACATCCTTAGTCATCAGAGAAATGCAAATCAAGGCAACTCTGAGATTCCATCTTACACCTGTAAGAATGGCCAGGATCAAAAACACTGATGACAACTTATGCTGGAGAGGTTGTGGGGTAAAGGGAACACTCCTGCATTGCTTGTGGGAATGCAAACTGGTACAGCCCCTTTGGATGTCAGTGTGACGATTTCTCAGAAAATCAGGAAACAACCTTCCTCAAGACCCAGCAATACCACTTTTGGGTTTATATCCAAAGGATGCTCAATCGTGCCACAAGGACATGTGCTCAACTATGTTCATAGCAGCTTTGCTTGTCATAGCCAGAACCTGGAAACAACCTAAACACCCCTCAACCGAAGAATGGATAAAAAAAAAAAAAAAGTGGTACAAATGGGTGGAGCTAGAAAACATCATTTTGAGTGAGGTAACCCAGACCCAGAAAGACAATCATCATATGTACTCACTCATAAGCGGTTTTTAAACATAAAGCAAAGAAAACCACCCTACAAATCACAATCCTAGAGAACCTAGACAACAATGAGGATCCTAAGAGAGACATACATGGATCTAATCTACATGGGAAGTATAAAAAGACAAGATCTCCTGAGTAAATTGGGAGCATGGGGACCACGGGAGAGGGTTTAAGGGGAGGGGAGAGGAATGGAGGAGAGCAGAGAAAATGTAGAGCTCAATGAAAATCAATTTAAAAATATATAAAAATTTTTAAAAAGTGAAAAAAGATTCCTGTTTGTATTCTAATGAGAGAGAAAAAGAAAGGGTATGGATTTGTGTGGGTGGGGAAGTGGAAAGGATCTGGAAGGAGGTGGGGGAGGGGAACTGTAATCAGGATATATTGCATAAAAAATATTCAATTAGAGAGTGATAGATAGTCCAGCAGTGGGGGCACACACCTTTAATCCCAGTACTCTGGAGGCAGAGGCAGGCAGATCTCTATAAATTCGAGACCAGCCTGGTCTACAGAACAAGTTCAAAAAAAACAAAACAGGGCTACACAGAGAAACCAAGTCTCAAAAAATAAAAAAAAAAAATTAAAAATAAAATAAAAAAAAGAGGAGGAGGAGAGGGTGCGTGCAAGTGCACAGGCTGCTTTCCAGAGGACCCAAGCTCAGTTCCCAGCACACACATGGTAACTCACTACCATCTGTAACACCAGTCCCAGGAGATGGTAGGTCTTATGCCCTCTTTGGCTTCCATGTGCACTGCATGTACATGGTGCATGGGTATACATACAGACAAAACACCCAAACAAAAAAAGTAAAATTAAAATAGGGGACTGGAGTGCTGGTTCAGCGCTTAAGAGCAGTTGTTGTTCTTGTAGAGGACCTGGGTTCAATTCCCAGCTCCACATGGAAGCTTACAACATAAAAACAAAACAAATAAACCTTTAAAAAATAATAAAATAAAAATAAAGAAACTAAAATGAAAAAAATTAGAAAAGAATCTGAGGTAGAGGCAGAGTCCACACTTTAAACAAGTCACTGGCTGACAGGCACTATGGGCCTTAGGCCATATGAGGAACAGTAAGCTGGAACACACCGGCCCCACCCCCACCTCTTAGAGCCAGTTTTGGCCCCTCACTACCAACCACCTTCTTCCACGCTTCCTGATAAAAGGGCCAGAATTCAGCAAACATAGTATCATAAGAAACAAACTTCCGCTAGGCATGGTGGCACACCCCTTTAATCCCAGCACTTAGAAGGCAGAGGCATAGATATCTCTGTGAGTTCAATGCCAGCCTGGCCTACATAGTGAGTTCCCAGAGAGCTACATAGCAAGAGCCTATCTCAGAGAGAGAGAGAGAGAGAGAGAGAGAGAGAGAGAGAGAGAGAGAGAGGTTTCTTTGAATCTACTATGAACGAGAACCCATTGTGTGAGTGCAGTTTCAGAGGGCATCGTATGCAGAGAGTTCTTCAAGCCCCGGACAGGATGGAGCAGGAACCAGATGGATCTGTCTGGGATGGAGGAGGCAGGGCAGAGCATTCCACCAGACCCTACGATGTCACAGACAAGGACAGTTTATCAGCTGGCCTGTATGTATGCACTTGGCGGACACCCAGTGACTGAGTCCAAAACACCACTTTGAACTGAGTCTTTGCTACCTATTAAGACCCTCCTGAGACTACAGCAATGGGCAACATGGGACCCAGGCCTCCTACCCTGAGGATAGAGTGAGCATCCGTAAGATCAGTGCTAGAACAAAAGGCTACCCCTTAGGCACACGGATCCTGCTCCGGGGACGGAGACCTGGGAATGGGGGCACTTGGCCTGGAGAAGCCCATCCTACAGCAACAGTATGGGTTATTCGGCAGCTGGGGAGGGTGTGTAGGAGCACAGTAGAGGCATGTGCTGCAGGCAGCTGTGTCACGGTAGAGATGTGTGCTGCAGGCAGCTATGTCAGAGGTAAGCAGACTCAGCAGCTGTGTCCGCTACCTTCTAAGACACCAGAGGCCATGAAAGGGTCTGAGCAAGGAAGGTGAGGTCTAGTCAATGTCTAACTTGCTCTCAGACAAGCCCTGAGAAGGGCTGGCGGGCCCCACTGCACCAAGGCTACTGGGTACAAAGGATAGGTCTAGCGTGGAGCTTTGGTGACCCTCAGCGAAGGCCGGCAACACTCTGGGCCCAGAACCCAGCTCAGACCTAGCTGAAGTCAGGCTCAGAAGGAAACTCAGGGAGTAGAAAAGGTTCTTATGGCCTTCGACCTGTTTCCCTGCTCCAAAGTCCTGGTATCCTTTGAGTTTGGCCCATAGTCTTAGCATTCCTGTGGTATGGCCAGAGGCATTAGCGAATCGTGGAGACAGACAAGCTTAGATCTAAGCCTGTGGAGGCAATGAAGTAGCCAGTCTCTGGGTTTGACATCTCATGGACACAGTGGGTTGTGTCATTTCTTGCCATACCATAAGCAGGTATTCCTTCTCCCTGAAATATGCCCCTTCTGTAAGCCAGAGACACTTGGTCTCCAGGGTCCTACATTCTGCACTGTGAGGGCTCCTTGGGGCTTTTTGGGGTACCACTAGACCAGTTAGAGCCTACATTTGTGAAAAGCAGAGCCTTGAGAAAAGGAATAACTTTGCCTAAGCCACAGTCAGGTAGACTGTCCTGGACTCATATCGTGGTGAGCTACCAGCTCATGGACCAGTGGGTCAGGCACCCGATTCTGACCCTCATTACCTGGGCACCTGCCATCTTATGGGACTGTTCTTGCCTGGGAACAGATCAGCAAGCAATCTGGGCCCTTTCAATCAGAACTGTTTCTTCCTGTCGTCTGAACCTCTACAAGAATGTTAACTCTGGGCTGAGGTGGTAGCTGACACCTTTAATCCTAGCACTTGGGGGGCAGAGCTGGTGAATCTCTGAGTCTGAGGCCAACCTGGACTACACAGGGAAACCTTATGTCAAACAAAACAAAATAAAATAAGAACGTTAACTCTGAGGTCCTTCAGCAAGGCTTGAGTCCCCCTCCAGACTGGGCCATCATCATCCAAGAGCCCTCCCCAACATGATCAAGTTTGCTGGCAGAGATGTGGCCCAAGCTCTGACTGCTTCTAGCTCAGAGGGCCCAGGACTAAAGCAAGGTCATAGTCAGGGTCCTTTCTCCACACCAGGCAAGACAGCGAGGAGGTGCACCTATGTACCCCTTTCTGCACACCAGGCAGGACAGCGAGGAGGTGCTCCCACCCACCCATCCTGGAGACCAGCCTAGGGACTCCACACAGGCTCTGTGCTCAGGAATGACAGCACCACCATTGAGCGTGGACTCAGTACAGAAATGTTTAATGGCTGAATTGTACACTGGCTCTGTGACATATCCAGAAAGGCAACTTTTCATGTTCCAAAAATAGATTTGATAGAAAGACTTACATTTTCATAAATAGGTAATGTGAAAATTTCCCCAATGCACATGGCATCCTTGGGCTGGCAATTCTGCCCGTCCAGGCCTTGCAGGGGTGAGTTCGGCTGGAGGCCCACCACTGGCAGCATCCTGGGACAGGGCAACCAATTCAATGTGCACCAGGGGCTCCCTGTAGATTTCCCCCAGTTGGGGCCTGTGTCCTTGGAGACAGACTTCTACCCAAAGAAACATGGAGGCCCTTCTTGGTACCTTAGTGGGCAAGCCCTCAGTCCTTCACTCTCCTCCTGCTGCAGTCACGCTGGCCCCGCCCTGCCTCTGTGGGTACCTCCTAGCCCTCCCCAGCACCCAGCCTCCACCTGCTCCTGCTACCCAGAGGCCCTGGACTGCTGGCAGCCAGCCGAGCCTGCCCAGGGCAAGGAAAGCAACTGCTTTGTTTCCTGACTCACACACACTTGCCTGTTTTCTGGTCCTCAAGACCAGGGCTCCTGACAAAGGCTCAGGGGTCCTGAGGTTCTCTGTGTACTGGAGTGGGGCAGGCGCCTCCGCAGAGGGCCAGAGCCTGGGCGTTACTGTCTGAAGGGATGGCAGCAGCTTCTCCAGAGGAGCCAGCTTCAGTCCAGGACTCAGGGTCCTCCTAGGCCACAGAACCAAGAGTCCAGGGAAGAACTCGTTCCTGCCAGGATACTAAAGATAAGGCCTGTCACTGGGGAGGGGCCATCTCTCTTCAGAGATGTCCTCTGGGTCACTTGTGGGATTCTGTGCTGTCAATAAGAAGGCAGGTTGGCAGAGACTTGGGAGAGGAGGGTCACATTGGGCCCAGACTTGACAGTGAGTAGAGAGGTGGGCAGGCTGTGGAGGCCATAATGAGGGCCCTGGACCTGGCCCTCCAGACCTGTGCTTGGCAGTGGAACTGGAACCCAGAGAGTAAGCGGGCAGGGTGGTTACCAGGGCAGTGGGGAGTGCTGGGCTCAAGGAGACTTTGGTGTCCGGGCTAAACTCAGAGCAGGGCTGCTGCTGCTCAAGAGCACAGGGATGGGCCTCGCCACACCTCAGCGCCTGGGGATTGTGGAAAGGGAAGTGAGGTGATCTCCCTAGTTGTTGGGTGAGCCACGAGGCCACCAGTGAAGAAGGCTCCCTGGGCCAAACAGGGCTTACTCAGCTCTACCCATTCCACCCTTACGGCAGTGATTCTCAACCTTCCTAATGCTGAGCCCCTCCCAGCACAGCCACGGTGACCTCCACTGGAGAAGCCCTCTAGGCAGGCTCTGGTTCACTTGGGCCATCCTCCACCTCACCAGAACCAGGCTCAGCTAATCCACAGGCTACCCCAAGTCTCCTACCCGAAAAGGGGCCAGTGGGTCTAGTCCTGTTTATCTCGTTCAGCACAGTTCTCTCCTTACGCTGTTAGGGAGTTGCTGCAAAGCCCTGTTTCTGGCCCCGTGGTCAGATATACCTAGGAAAGAGGCGACAGACCAGAAAGCTTGAAAGGAGAGGAAAGGGTAGGCTACCAGCAGGAAGGGGAGATGCAGGGAACAATACCTGATCCATGATCAGACTGGACTGAGCCTGACCCAAATGGCTGGGGCCCATGGCTGATGTGGCAGTTTGAGTGTGCAGTGAGGGGGTAAAAGGGCACAGAACTGGGCTGACTCAAAGGACCAAGGACGACCTCAGAAACATTCATTCCCTGGCTCAATTCCTGCACCTACTTGCTTTGATCCCTGAGCCCCAAAGGACAATCCTGCCTCCTAAGAACCCCACTCTTCCTTCTGACCCCAGCAGGAAGCATCTGTTAAGGAAGGCCAGGGACCAGTGAGGTGTGAGACGGCTAGGTCTCAGGCCACCACGTCCTCATCTTCTTTGTTTTGAAACCGCAAGTTAGGCCAGGACCATGGGGAACTAGAGTCGCCCTGAACTGAACTGTGGCAGGGAAGGTTTCCCCACGAGGCAAGGCAGCAACCACAGGGCCCTCAACCTCCACCTCCACCTCCGGGACACAAAAGAAGCTGCTGTCTCGGTGCTGTCACTCCTGGCACTGAGGGCTGAGCCCAGGGCCTGGCGTGAGCTCAGCAAGTGTTCCACCAGTGAGTTATCCCCCACCCCCACAAGCTGCTTCTTTTTCCTTTCCTATCTCAACCCTCAACCACACTGAGAGATTAGCTGCTTTGGCAACCTGACTGGCAAAATGTTGGGCCTCAGGCCAACAGACCATATCCAGCTGGGCCTGGCCATGACCCTACACTTGTGTCAGTGAAAATGAGATGCTACATGGAAAAGCAGAAAAACTCGAGAAGTCTTGGTAAGGCAGCGAGCCAGGCCCAGCGAGATAAGTGCTCCAAGCTGGCAGTGAAGGGAGGACGCTGCTTCCGCCTGATGGGCTCAGGATTCCCAGGGACAAGGCTCGGCACCCGCCTGTTGGCCTAACTCATGTGCTTTTTACACTCTGGTTAGAGGCCGGAGAACGACCTGGAGGAACCTGGGGTTCCAGCCACATCCCTGGAGAGCAGCAGTCAAGGCAGGAGAAGGTAAGACCAGCACGTGGGGGCTGGGCAGCACGGCCGGACCGCTTCCCACAGAAGTCTATGCTGGAAGGCTCAGGCTAGTCCTGGAATGTGAGAGCACAGAGGGAGCAGATGCTGGCTGGCAGGATGGTCCACAACCTGCCCTAGGCCAACGGCCTTCTGCACAGGACACCCTGCTTCTCCCTTTCTACCCAGCATCCAGGCTAGGGGTGCAGAATCCCTCTAGAGAAACCAGTGCCCTGGAGGGCCGGCTCTACATGGTGGGGCTTGACAGGCTGGAGACAAGGGAGGTGGGGAGGTCTTGGCCTGGCCTGCCTGCCCTGCCCCCCCCAGTCAGCACCCACAGCCCCAGTTCTCCACAATGTCCTTGCTGTCTAGCTGGATGTGGTCGGTACTCTTCTCACTGAACATGGGGCCTCCATGTCTCATGATGAGTTCGGTGGCCACTCTGGTGAAGGCCTCCTCCACATTGCTGGAGTCCTTGGCAGAGGTCTCGATGGCACAGAGGATGTCATAGTGCTCAGCCAGGCTCTGTGCCTCAGTCAGAGGAACCTCCCGGAAATCGGCAAGGTCTGACTTGTTCCCTGTGGAGGAAAGTCAGGCAGAGTATGAGAAGACCCACAGTACCAGGCCAGCACAGTTCTGCTCAGCTGAGCCACACCAGGAGCCCGAGAGCAAGAGCATGTCCCCTTCAGCAGCTCCAGGTAAACACTGCTGGGCATAGTGACTCGCCCTCCCTAAAACATTCCTTTGGTGGCAGTGGTGGCATGGTTTTTTGTTTGCTTGATTGATTATTTGTTTTTGTTTTTTGTTTTCCCCCACAAGTCAGGGCTTCTCCTTGTAGCCCTGGCTGTTCTGAAACTCACGCTGTAAATCAGGCTTGCATCAAACTCACAGATCCGCCTGCCTCTGTCTCCTGAGTGCTGGGATTAAAGGCATGTGCCACCACTGTCTGGCTTAAAATAGTCCCTTTTATTTTATAAAAATGTTATGTGTATGGGTGTTTTGCCTACATATAAGTCTGTGAGCCAAATGGATGTCTGGCAGCCACAAAGACCAGAAGATATAATATCCCCTAGAATCACAGATGGTTGTGAGCTAAAATGTAGGTGCTGGGGAAAACTCAGGTCATTGGGAAGTGCTCAAAACCACTGTGTCATCTCTCCAGCCCCTATTTAATCTTTTTCTTTTTTCTTTTCATTCTTTTCTTTTTTGGAGATAGGGTCTTACTATGTAGCTGTACCTAAACTGGAACTCAGTATGTAGACCAGCCTGGCCATAAACTCACAGAGATCTACTTGCTTCTGCCTCCTGAATGCTGGGAATAAAGACATGCTTCACCACACCCAGAATATTTATATTTAATCATTTTTAAAAACTGTTCTCGGCTGGGCAGCAGCGCCACAACAGGCAAGCAATCTCTGAATTCACATCAGCCTGGTCTACAGATTAAGTTCCAGAATATTTAGGGTTATACAGAGAAGCCTTGTCTCAAAAAGTCAAAAAATAAAAATAGAGAGTTCTCTCTAGGTTGCCCAGGCTAGACTTGAACTGCTAATTAAAGCAATCCTCCTCCCTTTCAGCCTCTTGAGAGCTAGGACAAGCTCTTACACTCAGCTGGCAAGACGGCTCAGTGGGTCGAGGTGCTTGCTGTTCAACTAGGTAACCTGAGTTCAATCCCCAGTGCCTTCGTGGTGGAAGGGGAAATACACTTCGTAACTGTCCTTTGGTCTACACACTTGTGCTTTGACATGAGTACACCCATATCCACACACCAGACAGACAGACAGACAGAAGGCAGGCAGACAGACGGATTTCAGAAAGTTTAAACTCTTATTCTAGGCTAGCAAGATGGTTCAGCAGATAAAGACACTTGTTGCCATTCCAGTGATCTGAATTCCATTCCCAGGACCCATTTAGTAAAGGGAGAGACCTGACACTAGCAAGTTTGTCACGTGATCTCTATACACACACATATATGTGCATACATGTACATGCACACAAGCTCAGACACCGACACACTAAATAAATATAAATTAAAAATGCAAAAGGAAAGTTCTTATTCTGTGGTCTCTCATCTTGTTATGGCTGGGGATAAAGCCCACTCACGCATACTAGCTACGTGCTCATCCAGCGAGCAGCAAGCCAGCCACGCTGCCTCCTCTGAGCAGGAGACGCAGCGCTGCTGGCAGAAAGGCTATGCCTAAGAGCTAAAGGGTCTGGTCCAGAACACACAGGGACTACAAAGCCCACTCCAGCACACTCTTGCCTCCAAATCTCAATTTTGTCCAACTTTAAAACTGACTGCAAGCTCCAGGTTCAACTTCCAGCTCTTTTCCTGGCCAAACTCCCTCCCTCCCCAGGCAGGCTTGTCCTGTACTGGAGAAGAATAAAGGCAAGGGCAGAGATAAGACTCATTCCCAGGCCCCGCCGGCCACCATCCCTAGCTCACCAATCAGCAGCTGCACAATGTTGGAGCCTGCATACTTCCTCACGTCCTCGATCCAGTGAGGCACCGACAAGAAGGTGCTCCTCTTGGTGATGTCATACGCAAGGATGGCCCCATTGGCACTGCGGTAGTAGCTCTGGGTGATGGTTCGGAATCTCTCCTGGCCAGCCGTGTCCCAAATCTGTAGCTGAAGAAAAAGGTCAACCCAGTGACACATGTCAAAGGGATAGGAAGGGCAGCCCCACAGTCCCATGCCCAGAACAGTGAGTTCGCTGGCTGAACGCTGGCCCACAGCAATGGTCTCCTTCGAGCCTCAGGAAGCCTCAGGACTGGAGCGATGGCTCAGAGGTCCAGAGGGATTGCTGTGCAATCCAAAGGGCCAGAGTTTGGATCCCAGCACTCACCTAACAAATCTGTGCACACCTGTAACCTCAGTGCTAAGTACAGCAGAGACTGAAGCTTGCTGGCGGTTAGCCTAACCAAGGAAATGTAAGCCCCAGGTTCAGGGAGAGGCACCTGTCACAAAAGGAGTAGATGGGAAGTAATAACAGGACACCCAACTCTCCTGGCCTCTGAATGTGCACACGCAAATAAAAAAAAGGAAAAAAAGAAAGAAAAAAAGAAAAAGAAAAGAAAGAAACCACCTCAGAGATCCAGTATGAGGAAGAAGAGAAGAGGGGGTGCAGGGCCGCTTGTTTCACAACTCTGGGGTCCCTGAAGAGGCAATTCTGAACTGAGTCCTCCATAGACTGGCTCTCCCTCTAACCCCTGAGCTGCTGATCACGAGAGTCTGCAGGTGGCCCCAAGGGTGCAGTAAGGTCAGGCTGGCTATACATTTGAGTCTTTTCTGTTGCAAGCTCACTGGGTCCAGGCTGTACAGTATTGGATTTCCTAATGATTCCACAGCTGGTGGGGAGAAGGCTGGACTGGGGCACTGGGTACTTAGTTATCTACCTTGGCCAAAGCATGGGGCATAGGATCTTTCTCCATTTATTCCTTCACTTAACAAATGCCAGTGCCCTATGGTAGGCACCCTGCTGGGTATTATACTCTTTAATGAACCTCAATACTGGGAGCCTGAGCTCCTGCATCATCAGGCCCCCTTTCAGGACGGACAGCACTACCTTTTAGCATGTAGCCTCTCCTACCCATCCTTTATCACTTTAGGGTAGCTCTTTCTGATACTCATGCTCCAGTTCTAGATAGAAGACCCTTCATGGTCCTTCCTTCCTCTCTAACAGTTCACACCACAGACAGCATTGTCTATTTCACTCAGGTATCCTGCACCAAGATGACTTTAGGAGCTAGGCAGGGAGCATGAGATACAGCAACATACACACTCACACTCATACACCATACACACACTCACTCACATACACACACACAGTACACGCACAGACACACATATATAGAAGTATAGAAGCAGGGAACCACAAGCTGCTTTCCAGAGATTCAGGGTTCACAGTCCCACGGAGTAAGTCACATGGCTGCAGTAAATCAATCCTGTTTATTAGGTTAAAAACATCTCTGTAAGTTCATTTCCAAGACCTGTGTCCTGTCCTGTCCCTCCCAATGGAAAAGTAGTCTGTCCTGAGTAAGCACACAGTGGAAAGTTCCAGGCTTCTTTCTGAGAAGAGAACCTTGGAAAAGTTAGTTCTCAAGGCAAAAACGGAGATGGTCAGACTGACCCAAATACAAGTTCCTGAGCTATTTTTTATGATGTCTTGGGACATGAGTCAAACAGGAGGTAGGGTTTGAGGGCTCCTCCTTCCCAGCCTCCCCTCCTGTGCTGTCCTCTGGGGAACAGCTCCGTCGCAACTTCTGCGATTCTGCAGAACCCACAGTGTCTAATACTAACTGGTGAAAAGCAGCAGTCGCTCCAGGGGAAGTGCAGTAGGTGGGCAAGTTCGCTCTGCTGTCTGCCATCCTCTCAGGTGAGAGCTGGAAGTGATGAACGCTCTTCCAGCCCTGCGGGTCTTTCCCCCACCCCTCGTGGTCCTGGGCTGGAATGGCAGCCTTTCGGCTAAAGCTAGTGATGTTGCTCTGGGCTTTAGCAGTCAAAGGCTCATATCGCCAGATCCTGAGGTTGGAGGCTCCTGCTCTGGGTTTTAAGCACCAGTGGTCACGTGGCAGCTACTGTAATCCTCAGTCTCCCCCAGCTAGTATTATATATACTCCTAATGAACCTCAACACTGGGAGCCTTAGCTCCTACAGTAATTGGTGTAGCAGTTCTCGGGCCAAATGTGTCCAGGACCCCTGGCCCTTAACACTTGGCAGCTTGCGGCTGGAGAGGTGGCTCAGAGGTTAAGAGCACTGGCTGCCCTTCCAGGGGTTCCAAGTTCAATTCCCAGCAACCCCATGGGGGCACACTACTGCCACGGTTTCTGGTTCAGCTCTTGCCTCTTCATGCTACCACCTCAGCCCACTGTACTCCCTTCAGGAGAAGCCTTTCATCTGACCTAATGTCACAATCCCAGTGTTCAGTACAAGGGAGTGTCCTGTCGCTGAATGTGAAGGTGACCTGACTGCCTGTCTAAAGAGCGGGAAAGGTGCTGTGCCAGGGGTATCTGCACCATCCTAGTGTAGTCCTTCAAACAATCCAAGGACTAGCTTTGCCTCAATCCCAGGTCTCCTGCTGAGCCACCAGAGAGGCATTCCTCTTCTGTCCTGGAGTTCGCCAAGCTTGTGACGGGATGTCCAGAGTCTATCTAGTGCAAGCTGTCTGAAGCAGCCAAGACGGGGCGAAGCCTTGGAGGTGGAGGTCTGCTTGGGTAGCCAGCAGCCGTGGCTGCTGCTTAGCTTCCTTAAGGAATCAGTGCAGTCTGCACATCAGCATGGGAGCCATGAGGCCAATCAGAGTCAACTACTTGGCTAAAAATCCTCTGTTCAAGGTAGCCTGGGTACCAGGAAAAGCTTTAATAGCTGTCAAATCATGTTAGTCCCCAAACCTAACTTATTTAAAGGAAAAATAAACATAAAAGGGTGCTTACAATAAAGGCCTATCATTACCACTGAGAATGGGTTAACCGTACTGAACAGTGCTTAACTCTATCCAACGCCTAGAGGCAAGTCTTGATCTGATAGAGAACTAGAAGGACAAGAAAAGCTGAAACCATTGACCTGGGGACATCAACTGGAGGCAAACAAGAGGGGTTGAAAGGAGCCAGTGTCCGAGGGATGCTGAAAGCCTCTGTGCCCAGAATTCCTCCCGCTCCCTCAACATGATTTGTCGAGGTGCAGCATCAGGAGATACTTTAGTCCCATACTGTAATGTGGCTCCTGCAGGGGAGTTCTGTCGCAATGCAAAGTAGCATCCGCCCATGTGGCAGGATGGCCATGCCAGCTTTTCTGCGGGCTTCCTCATCACACTCTGGACAGCATCAGCCCATCTCGCAGCCACACTAACAGAACGGGGCCATGATGCTTTGAATCCAGACAGGCAGAGCTCAGCAGGATGTCCAGAGGTGTCAGCATTTCCTATCTGTCACCCCAAGATCAATCTTTCTGAGACAGGTTCTCATATATCCAGGCTGGCTTCAAACCCTCTATGTAGCCAAAAAGGACCCTGGACTTCTGATCCTCCTGTCTCCATCTTCTGAGTCCCGGGATTACAGGCATGTGCCACCATCCTAGTTATACGCAGAACAGGGGATGGAACCCATGGTTTCATGCACATTGAGCAAGCACTCTACCAACTGAGCCATATGCCCCACCGCCAGATTACTCTTTACATCTACAGTGTCACAGGAGAGAAGCTGTGGCAGTAGTATCCCAAGCCCCCCACTGTGTGCAAGGCTCCCACAGCGTATGGAAATCTTCTTCAATAAATCTCCTCAGTGAGTTACATCTCCCATAGAATCAAACCCTTGCCTGAATGTTCTTGGTGTGTTTGCCTTTGGCAAACAAGCCCTGCCTCAGTTGCTTACAAAGGGCTCACTGTTCCCAATACCCCTTCTTCCCTTCCTGGAAGCTCAGAACACCCACCTACTACTAGCCACAGGGTTGCAGCACCGAGGGGTGAGCCTGAACCACAGGACCCCTCCCAGGCACCTGGTCCAGTTCAAGTGGGTATCACGGAACCAGGACAGCCCCCAATAGCTGTGCCTACCAGGAGAGTCTTTTGTGACAAGAACAGTAATCTTAGAGTCCAGGCCACAAGTTCTGAGGCTCTGCCTCAGAGCCTTCACAGTTAAGTTTCTAAACTAAAGATCTCTCTATCACCAGGTAAAATGATTGTGTTTTGTTTCTTTCTTTTTTTAAATAGGGGAGACTGAGCTAGGACCTTGTGCATACAAAGCAAGTTGTTCTAGCACTGAGCTGCATCCCCAGTTTCAGACCTTCTTATTTTTCTAGACTTCCTCAGTCAGATGCAGAGCATCACAGGCTCAACTCTGCCCACCTCTTCTCCACCCTCCCTGTGCCCTGCTACTTTGGTAATGAGAAAGTAGCCCCAGCCTGGGACCTCAGCATAGCCTTGAGCCCTTCCGTCCTCCTCTACCAGTCAATACAGAACACAGTGCCAGGCAGCCTCCCAGGTCTCCCAGACAAAGCTGACCACTTTGTTTCTGCTGTCCTCAGAACACAGTGGACAAGACGCCAGCAGAATGGACCTGGCCTGGGAGCAATCCGTGGCCTCGTCTCTCCCCACTCTCAAGTTGTGCCCACACCTCTTACAGCGTTTCCATGGTCGGCATCCATATGGCCACGGCATCTGAGGCCCCTTCTGTCAACCTTCCTGTCTCCATGACCCTGGACAAGGTAGACTGCTGCCTCCTCTGGGCTTATCCAAGCATGCAACGTAATCTCTACACGCACGTCCACGACAACTATGGCCACCATGGGGCCCCGCTCATGCTGTTTGTGCCAGGGCGTCCATGCCTGGCTCAGACTCTCCTGTCACCAGTGACAGCGTTAAGAACATTACATGCCGGGTGTGAGACGAGGCCTGAAGAACACAGACTGATTCTGCTGTATCTTTTCCTCTTGAACACACCAAGCACAGACTCTATGAACTGAGCTACCCCAGCCAGGGCCCAGGCTCTCGATATACCAAGAACCAAAGTCAGAACTACTGAGTTAGGAGTTTATATGGAAGCATTTACCCTGGCACTTAAATAATAAAGTTATTCTTCTGTGTGGTCTCTTCCATGTAGTTCACAGATTTTCATGTACTTCCTCAAATTTTT